TTATGCACACTCAGATATTATTCAAAATTTGATGTTAATACAAATCTAATCTCATTCATGATCAAAGCGATTCCTGCTTGGACCGAATTATGAACTTTAAAATCCGGAAATTGTGGTCAGTCGTTGTCAGTGTTTTAAATCGCTAGTAAGTCAACAACAGGGTATAAACACTACTAGTTTTACAGTTTCAAGGTTTGATATAACATAACTGTTTTAATTAATAGAGTAAACATGTCAAACTTCATCACGGCAGATAGAAATATTGCACGTCTGTAACGTAACGTGTTGTAACGTGACGTGGTGTATGACTAATAATGAGAACATAACCTATAAGACAAAACGGTGTTAATTAAGATGTGAGTGTTAACATTTTACAATGACACCTTACAGTGTTACTTTAATTACAACACATTTTTCTATGATGCGTATGACTGGTATGCTGCATACCCTTTTAGTAACAAGAGACGAAATGACTGCGCAATGTTCTCAACAAATCCTGTTAACATTAGCGCGTCTGATAGTGCTAATAATAAACTATTGTAAAAACCAATAGAAACGTCTTTACTTTTCCAATCTACCATTTTTCATGTCTACACGTATTAAGACAAAAACCTGCACTATAGAACTGGTATTATAAATAATCTTACGTAAATTCTATGCTAATTTGTAATTGAGAGTAATTTCGAATGGAAACTTTTAAGGTCATCTGCTATTTTTGTTCTGCAATATTGGCAGTTTTTACTGAAGGTGAGTTGACCGCTAGCTCATTGGTTCAAATTTACCCCCACCACGACGGGCCCATACGTGCACAATCGAAATGATGTCATTAAGATGATTATCATATCGTGATATGCATGCATTTACTCCCTTAAGATCGTAACAACAAACCAGAACGCGTCAATGAGTAATTTTCCACTAAGGTTATTGGAACAAAGAACGAACGACACGTACAAAGAGAGATAGAAAAAGACAAAACGTGCACAATTATAAAGTGATGTCCCTTTCGAAGAGAATGGAAACATTTGATTTTAGTTTAATTATTTTATTCGTGACATCCACATACCCGCCACTGGCTGTATCAACAATTTATCTTTAGATACTTTCACCGAGCACAAAATTAACTAGAGGTTGAACTTCCCTTCATGCAAAAATATTGTTATTGTTATTTATGGTACAAAAAGATTAATTTCAATTTTAATAAACTGCCAACACTGCTTTGTTAAGCAATTGCTATCGAGTCTATTGTTTCGAAAAACTCTTAAATTTAATCTAATAATTAAACGGAAGTAGGCACGTATTGCACGTATACACTGTTTTTTAGCGGTATTGAAAGTAGCAAGACCTTAAGGTGACTTAAAAATTTTATTACTACTTTGTATTACACAAGACCTAGGAAATTTTGCAAATGTTTTAACAGATGAGTGTGGGTTACATGTTTGTGAACATATGTCAAAAGATCCGACTTGTTCTGTCTTTGTCATTCTATGAGACCAACAGTTCAAAAGTGTTTAGATCCCTAGATTTTGTATTTTATAGATTAAAAAAATTCCGTTGTCACTATTGTTCCAAAATTGTGACATGACCTTGAGTTAGAAATTTTGCAATAAATAAAGTGGTACCAAGCAGGACCTACTTTGCAATTAATTGTTAACAAAGTGCCATTTCAGCGTAAGATATTTAATACATGTGGTTTCGCAATAATTAACTGGGTAATCGATTTTTTCCTGTATTAAACTGTGTACAATATGTTATTAGTCGATACTTTATTGCAATATAAATGTTATTGTATGAAATAATAATAATAATTTAGTGGAGATATAGAGGTTTCAAATCTGTTAATATCGTGTAAGCTTAATACAGTGCCAAGGTGAAGAAACGTGGGAGCTGTAAAAATTGCTTCAACTTCTTGGCAGACTGTCAAAATGTCAAAATATGTTGCTGTTGTTTTCGGCTAAAGTGGCATAACAATCAGTTTTTTGAAGGTTATTGTAATTTAGAAGTGATAAATTTGAATACCCAGAGAGAGACAAAACGTCGGAGAAACGAAGACAGAAGAGACAAAGATAGACAGAGCTGTTTTTCTGATTAAAAAATAATTCAGACTAATTGATGTGTTACCGTTTCTTTACAATTTACGCTTTTGGTAGTAATTATATTTTACTACTTCAATGTTAAATAAATTAGCAATTAAAATAAATTCTAATAACTCTTATTAAATTTATTGTTCATTGTAAGTCATATAACTACACCATTAATATCCAAAATAATACATATTTTCCTGACGATAAGATGGCGATTTTCCGTAATTGAAAGTAGTAATCAACAACGTTACATAGAACGTTACCATGCCTACTATTTTAATGGCAGTGTAAAACTTGTAGCCAAGCTCAAGGACGTGTAGGTGTATAGTATTTAACATGTAAAATTTGTTCACTTAAAAATTTTTGTAATTGCAACTTATGCAATTTTTGGCGTCTAAAGGTTTGGTATGACTATCACATCTGACAATTTTTAAAAATGACATTTGCTACAGTAATAAAGTAAATACATATAAACTGAGGTGTATGATAACAAACACGCCCCTCCAAGTAGTAAATAATTCAAAATGATGCAACAACCGTCAATAGACAGTCATGTTTTTAATTTCGAAGTCATAATTAAAATACCATAGACTATTTGAAATATTCAATAGGCAACTACCACAGTTAATTATAAAAGTCCAAAACTGACTTATCCAGCTGATAATAAAGACATAAAATTGTATAATTCATTTAAGTATTTACATTTGAACGTTCTAAAAATAGTCTTGGAGTGTTAGCAAAAACAACTAAAACTCGCTCTTCATATAGATCTTGTTAAAAATAGATCAATATTTAAATTTAGCTTTGTTTTATTTTTGACTATTGTATGTACCACATCTCTCGAATTATAGTTATGTCAACACCGACTTCAAGTTTCAAGTACTAGTCAACGTTCAAGATGGAAACGCCGTATCCGAAATCCGAAGTTCAGGTTCAGGTCAGGTTATTCGTAAACCTAGGGGGCTCGTCTTGATGACGTCAAAGCGATATCCGGTTGAGCACATTCTGATTGACATGATGATTCGGCTATTGTTCGCAAATGATTTTTTCTGATGAAATACTCATGCAATGGAAAAATAAAAAAATAGAGATCAGTCCAAGGTTAGAGGCTCGTCATGACGATTAAGAGGGGGGGGGGGCGATCGTCTGACATTTCTGCGAAGAGTTTTTCGGGAAATTCTCTAAATAAATCCCCGTTCCATACTTTTTTGTCGCGTCATGGTAATTAGTCTGAAAAAACAGTCCAAAGTCCGAGGTTCAGGTGGGCTCGTCTGTGACGTCAGAACACACCCATCCTGTCACAACCTATTGCAACCAGCCGTTGGTCCGTCAGTAGCGCCGCTACGTGGGCACAGGGGGAAGGGAATCGTTATGTAACAAAAACCACAGTAAACAGATGCAAAACACTGAAATGAAAGATTGATTATTGAGACGAAAAAAACTGATTGCTTGAATTCTGTACAACTAAGACCATTATTCTGTTTTGATCTTTGATCTGTGAATAACGCAAAGTCACCTCAAATAAATGCAGAAAAAAAGAGTGTTTTAATGGAGTTACACGTTTCCTGTTTTGATTCAAAAATGCAAAGGTTACGCCACAAAAAAGAACATTTCGCGCACTTAAAATTCAAGCACCAAGCAAACGCAAAACGGGTTATTGATAATTTCGACCAGCTGATAAAAGCAATTTTTGCTTTTACGCAGTTTATTTTTTTTTTTTTATCTTTCACCGTTTTATGATAGGACAAAAATATGTGGTGCGCATACCAGCAATCATTTTGTAAAGTATAGGGAATTATGATGTAGAGGAGCGGGAAAACACCCTGATATGGACTTGGGGAAGGTACAATGGGCCCAAAGGCGAGGCCTAAGTGCCGGCTGGCTACGGTCAGCCCCCATAAATTAAGAATCCAGAATCCAGAATCCAGGGAATTATGATTACGGAATTTTTATTTTTAGAGATCAATGATTTCTCTAAACCAGGATGCTATTAGTTCATAATTCCAGAATGTGTTTTTTTTCCAGTCTTTAGCACGTCGCTGTACATTGCACAAAGCTATTTTTAATGGTAAGTCGGAATAATTTGACAATGTAGTCGTTTATTTATTCAATTGTTCTATATGACATTGGCATATTTTTACATATTTGGCGACTTAATGCAGTAACGTCATAGGTACTAGTTGAAATGGTCGATAAAGCAAAATCGTTGTTTAATATTTCAAGTCGCTGCTTCCACAAATTTTACCATTGAGGTTAATTACATAATAGGAAACACTATGATTTTCGAAAATTATTATTTATAAACGCTTACCAAAAATTAATTATTCAACTGTTAACATAAAAGTAATGATTAGTTAAAAACTACTGTCATTAAGTCACGTAAAACGTCATTAGAAAAAGAGCTAGGACACAAGCTGGGACTCCACAAGGGTGTAAGCTTGGCCCTTTGTATTCTTTCTATGCACAAATGATCTACTAATATTAGTAAGTAATGACTGGGCTGTTAATCCGTGCAAGACGAAAAGTGTTAACTTACATCATACATCTTTTTGGAAAATGAATGTATAAAGTCAAACTAAGCCTATATGAAAGCAGAATAGCGCTTGATTAGCTAGTTTTTGAAGACAGAAAAACCATGACTACACCTTTATACAGTGAAATCAATCAGTTTAGAAACGAAAAACTATTACAGTCCAAGTCGAAAATCTCAGGACCCTAAGGAAGTTACAACTTTAAAGTAAATAAAGCCTTTAAAAACATTAATAATATACTAGAGTTCCTGCGGAAAGATTGACCCCACTGTCGGCACATAAACAAATCTCAAAATCACTTATACTTTGGTCGAGATTTCGCAAGATTACAAGAATCTGAGATAAAGATAGAGTATAAAAGGTGATTTACTGCGTGTGATCTTCATTGTTTTATATAAACTAGTATACATCAGTGTTTAAGATATGCCACGAATTGAGTATAATCGACAAGTGAGTTTTAGTAACAAAATGGTATCCATGTTGAAGCAGTTATTAAGAAGAAACCAAGAATCGTAAGTATTATTTTTTTATTTGACTTAGTTATGGTAGTCCAATTGTTCTAAAATACATGGTTTACTTAATACTTAACAATTTAGTATAGAAAAATAAGCCTGTAGTCTAGAATTTGGACGACCAAAAATGTTTTCTGGTATAACCGGTTGTTTTATAAGGGTACATAAAAGTTGTTTTCTTATGCAATCTCCACCGCGGTTACACTATTTGTTGTAAATAACGTCAAACTCTTTTTGACGCATTTCGTCGGGTTAGAACGCCACTGGGGCGGTGAAATCGGCGGTTAGCGAACCGCCAGATGTATACCCAGAAATACGAAAACCAGCTCTTTCGCAACATTAGGCAGCTTAGGTCAAGTCTACTTAAGGAGGTGTGTCGTGACGTATCAGTTGCGTTACATTGCAAATTCGTGCAATTATCTCAATCTTGATACGAGCGACAAGGTTAAGGTGCAAAGGGTTTTGTAACGGATAAATTGTTACTTGACGTAAAATATTAATAGAGAGGCAATTGGCTTAAGTAAAACAGTAATTGGTAAAGTCACGGGACACTCGTTGTGAGTTGGCCTACGTGACGTGAACGGAGGCTTGTCCACAAGGCGCGTTCTGATTGGCTGAGCTGACACACCTCCGTTGAATTCCGCGATTAGTGACGTCGACGTCAGCACAAACGAATTGCATCAGAAAACAATTGTATCCGACTTCAAAAAGCGATTTCGCAACACCGCCATGTTATTACTGGCGAAAAAGCGCTTCTTTGAAAGGAAAACACCCTTTGTTGAGGCGACTTTCAGACATTCCAAAAAATTCTGACATTTGTAGAAGGTCGTTCGCTTTTTTTGCTAACCGCATTCTAGGGTTGGCCGGTAATGACTCGATTAATATGGTAAATCAGGATAAAACGACAAGTGGAACAGGTGGTAGGTACCACCTTACGCGATCGATATATGATGTAGTACAAGATAAAAATGCAATAGTTAAGATAAGATAAGAAGGACCCATTCAATGAATATATAAAGGTGTGGTAATATCTTTTCGTGCAAAGTGTACCTGCTTGTTGGGTAATTCAGGCCCAAATGAAAGATGATAATAGTAATAAAATCTTGCCTTTGTTTATATTAGAGTACGAGTGATTTTTCAATGAATGGTAATGTAAGTAATTAAAACTTTAATTTGATGCTGATCGCTCTAGGAAATTTTCCACCGTGTTATTGATGCAAATTTCACTTGACTTAAGATAGTTTAGAGTCTGATTAACTTAAAATCAAGTGTACAGATCGCAACAAAACCATCGACCAACTGGTGCAGCCATGGAAAATTCCACGAGCAATAATTCCAACTTTTCTATCACAATTATAATATTTATAATAAAAACATGTCCATTTGCAAAACAAATCAGGTTCAAGTAACTGAAGGTATGAAGGACAAAAACAAAGTCACAAAATTAAAAAAAAACCGTCCCAGATTGTATAATTAGTAAAATTTTAATAACTTCCACGTAGTTGTTTCTGCATTTTTGTTAAAACCAAAGTGGTGGGTGTTGAGTAGCAAATTTTTTTGTGAAATTGATTTAAGAAGGGAAAGACGTGTGTTCCAGCACGTGTGCAGCCTCAACCCTGCATCAGTATCTCTTGATTCACTCTCTCTTGTACGTGCTTTCGGTCAAATCTTGATTGGTAGATAATAAACCGAAGTGACGCGATTTCGACAAAATTATAGCCGCAATTAAACAGGAATAATAAAATTACTGGCGTAACGTAATTATTAATTGTTCGTGGATTTATAGTTTTTTTAAAAGTGCGATTGTGTGTTTGTTTTGGTTCGTAAAAGCGTTGTTTTTAAAAATTTTTGGTCAAATTCTCGAATAGTGAAAAAGTTAGGCCGCCGCTATCCATCCTTGTCTTGCCCCCACTTCCAGGTAATACTGTGTGTGTATATATATAATGTATTGATGTATTTATTGGATACGATGCACCATCAAGCGGCAAGTAAGCGCGTATACAAAAGAATTTCCAAAAGCATTTTTTCTCAAAACGTAAATAAAAAGTCTTCGAATAAAGTCGTCGCTTTTTGAAGTCGTGATAACAGTGTGAAAATGCCAAGCACCGCAAGCAGAAACTCAAGTGATTTTTATTCCAGAGTCATGGATAACCAGCCTTCCCCACACTTCTGGGACAAGATGCGAATAAAATGGGTAAGTCACGATTCATCTCGCTGTTTTAAATAATTTTTTGCCGCGTTCACGTAGCGGGGATTTCATACAATTAAACTGCACAAAAAGCCGTCAAACAACCTTATGATGAATTAAACCTTTAATGTTTTTGCATAATTTTTGTTCGGATCGCGTATAAAACCTCGGTGTTCGAACGTTTGAAAGTTTAAAAATCTTTCAAGTAGAGCGGTGTTAGTTCGTGCCTTGTGTTCTGGAATATTCTCTTTGACTCGAATTCGCGCGCTGGAGTACACCGTTCAAACTTTTTATCAACCTAAAAATAAGTTCACTCGCACTCTCCTTCACCCTGAAACTCTTAATTCTATTTAAACAATCCGCGCTATTTTCATCGTTTAAATTTATCGTTGACATTTGACAACCCGCGCGAAAATTTTTCGGAGGCCTTTATACCAATTTAATTGACAAAAATGCTCCAATCGAGAGAATAATCGACACCTTGTTAAAAAACAAAGGCGCGCTTAAACTTTATTGATAAAGTTACCAAGCGGCGTATTGTTCGAAATTCGAAATGGAATCGGTAAGTTAATTAAAACACCTTCGGGTTTATGTATTTACAAACAAAATATGCAATGTAAACAAATAATCATTTCGTAATGTGTAAACGTCTCAATCGTGTTTGATTGCGATATTTTGCAAATATTTTTTAAAAGCCCGCGGTAAAAGGATTTGTCTGATTAAAGTGAACGAGCTAAAATAACTCGAATTGTTTAACGAAAATGTTGCCTGCATTTCACTTGGTCCACTTAAAGTAATCGCGATTATTTTAGTGTAGGCAACCAGTAATACAATCAATGGAGATAATAGATGTGATAGCGACGGATTTTAAAACTCAGGTGAGCTAGACAACACTTTTTGCACAGTTGTAATTTAGATGCATATTCGCGATAAGTGGTGGTCATTTTTTCCAAAATGTACCCTCTGTGGAAAAAATATCGTAACCGGATATAAAATTGTGTTGCTTTATTTCTGCCACATACATGTTTTCGCATTCTTTTATCAAACGTTTATTTTCGGGTATCTCTTAGTAATTCTACATTGCACTCAATTAAAATAATATGCTAACGCACTACAGGATGTACATTTTCGGGATTTCAAATTACTTGCATCGCACCTCTGTCGCAACTTCATGATGACACTCTGTATGTTTGTCCACTGACGTCTTTGTTAACTCAGGACCGGTGCCAGTTATATTTTGAACCCCTTGCAATGCAGAAGTTTACCGTTTTCGGGCAAAACTTAACTTTGTTTTTTTGTTTCATTTCGGAAACAAAGGGTTTAGTCATCATGCAGTGTTGTTACGGCTTTTATGTTCTGATAATCGAGATTTGAACTTGATTCGGTTCTGTTGTTCATGCAATACAGAACCGGGTAGAATGACCACAGGTCATAGGTCGCGCCTTATCAAAAAAATGAAAATTTTATATATTTCTCTTTACAGAATGGTGGTCACCAGTTGCTTCCAACGACAGACAGTCCAACTATTTCCGCGTGTACGACTTCGACAAATTTGTCGGGTTTGGAATTCCAATCAAATAACACCATCAACAAATTCATGACGGGAACAAATTTAGAAGAAAAGTTTCAAAGGGGGATCCCTGAGATCGAACCCTTGCAACAACATACAAAAGTTGACATGAATGGAACCCCCGCACAACAACCCATGGAAAGCTCAGATGAGCAACTGTGTCCACCTGCCCCATCACCCAGAAGAAAACTGTTCTGTTGGCAACAAGTAAGTACTTCTTTATTACCTATTCGCACCTGAATTCCCAGCAGACAAAAGCACCGAGCCTGTGGGGATCGCGACCTAATTATCTTAAATTTGTTTTTCAATTATCATAAAAATTTTCTTTGCTCATTATAAAACTTTATTTAATGTGACGTCTTCGATGTAATTATGGCTTGAACTTAATAAATTAAATTGATAACGGATCAAAACAAATCATGCCACGCAGAACAAAATCTCTATTTTTAATGTCGAGTCGGAGGGGGTTATTGGGTTCTTATAAATACAAACACTGTCGATTACACATCACATAAGTGACTTTACTTCGTTGCAACGAAGTTTATTGCTGCATGATTAGTTCGTGTTTGTTCAGCCACAATGAAAGTTCTAATTCGTGCGGATACTCATGTCGCGTTCAGCATTCCCGAATCCGAACCTAAGGCCAAGTGCACCCTATCTCAAGTCTGAAGACAACACCCGCTTTTGAGGACTCTACTCACAGCATTTTCTTTTTCAGGTACTTACAGCCATCGCCGTCTCTTTGGTTTCTATGGTAGTCGGATACTGCTCAGGCTACACCTCACCAGCAGAAATCAGTTTGAAGATGGACTTAAAGATCTCAAACTTTCATGTAAGTTTCTTTTTTTTGCAAAACGTGGTATAAGGACCATAGTTGTCTTGAAATCTGTGATCCTTTTCACGAAATTGAAGCTTCTCCTTGGGAGTTTGAGTCGGGCTTGACTAACGTCCCTTTTGTTACAGTTCTCATGGATCTCGGGCTCTATGCCTTTAGCTGCTGTGTTTGGTGGCCTGATGGGAGGACCGCTGATCGAAAAATTGGGTCGAAAACGGACCATAATCGTCACCGACTTTCTATTCCTAATCGGCTGGATCCTTAACTACTCCAGCTCTTGGTCCCAAGAATTCCGCTTCTTGTACGTCAGCAGAGTAATCTCCGGTTGTGCAGTAGGCATTGCCTCGTTGACTCTTCCCGTTTATTTGGGAGAAACAATTCAACCCGAAGTCCGCGGTACTTTGGGACTTTTGCCAACGGCGTTCGGCAACATTGGAATTTTGATATGTTTCCTAATGGGTTTCTTCCTGAGATGGCACAACATCGCCTTAGTCGGTGGCGTCTTGGCCCTTCCGTTCTTGTGCCTCATGTGGATCATTCCAGAAACGCCTCGCTGGTACGTCTCCAAGCAAAAGATTCCCGAGGCCCGTAAAGCTTTGATGTGGTTGCGTGGAAACACCAACCAGGATGCCGTGGAGAAGGAATTCGAAGAGCTGCTGAAGTCGCAGAAAACTTCAGACGAAAAAAGTGAAACCCTACGCGACTTGTTTACGAAACCCAACATGAAGTCCTTGCTCATCGTACTGGGTCTGATGTTCTTCCAACAATTCAGCGGAATCAACGCGATTATATTTTACACAACACAGATATTTGAAGACACGGGTTCCAATATTCCTTCCTCTATCCAGACGATCATTGTGGGAGCCGTCAATTTCATTTCTACTTTCATAGCGACGATTCTGATCGACAAGTTGGGGAGGAAGATTCTTTTATATATTTCGAGTGTGGCTATGATTATTACGTTAGCAGTATTGGGGGTGTACTTCTACCTTCTGAAAGTTTCGAATTACGATGTCTCGACGTATGGATGGGTGCCTTTGGCGAGTTTTGTAGTCTACGTGTTGGGATTCTCATTTGGGTTTGGTCCTATACCGTGGCTGATGATGGGAGAAATCTTGCCTGCGAAAATTAGAGGACCTGCTGCTTCGGTTTCCACTTCCTTCAACTGGATTGGTACCTTCGTGGTGACCACAGCATTCCATTTAATCAAAGACATTATTGGCGCTTACGGTGTGTTCTGGTTGTTCTGTGGCATAACCATAATAGGATTAGTTTTCACGATCCTGTTCGTACCAGAAACAAAAGGACAGAGTTTAGAAGATATTGAAAGAAAATTAGCGGGTGTTAAAGTGCGAAGAATGAGTTCAATTGCGAACATGAAACCTTTGCCCTCTGGAGTGTAAATTGACTTTATAAGTCACCGTAGATCTGTTTTTTGTACATAGTCCTATTTATTGTTTAGTACCCATTTTTTTAAGTAATAAATTATTTATATTTTTACTTTTGGTTTTACTTTTCACGTGTACATTGACGTCAAGTGAAAAGATACAAAAAACTCAAAACAACTTTCTTAAGGTTACTTGCGAACGACCGATAGCCATAATCAGTGGTCTTACTCATTACTCCACATTCTTATTGGTCCAATTAACTTTATTGATGTTTAAACTAAAGAAACAACAACTTAAAAACTCAAGAAGTAGTCATTTAATGATCCAATAAAAAATCAGTAGTTATCGCTCTTGTTACATGATATTCTGTGTACACAATAATGTGTCACGTCTTAAAAAACAATGGACATTGGCTACAGGTGTTAGGACTAAATTGCAAGCCAAATTAAATGGCTAAATATATTGTTGTTAAGCAAAGTAGAGCCAACGCTATTTTTTTATGTCACGTTGTTCTAAATTCCTGATTAAAGAATCCAAGGAACACTACTTAGCAACTGAACATTACAGCAATCTCTTGTGGTTTTTTCTGAAAGTGATGAACTCTGATGGCAATCACGTCACTGCCCCAAACAAAACACGAGTCACTGGTTGTCATACGCATTCACAGCTTCTGATATCTGAAGACACTAGTTTACCACATGAACTTCGCGAATATCATTAGTCAATATTTTTTAAAAGAGGAACTAATTGACGTAAGCAACATACATAATTAAGAAATAAATTATCTTTATAAAATGTTACATCTGCCTTTTATTAATTATTATTACGATAAGCTGTATCAGAAATCAGTGTTAAAGTATCCCCGTTTATATCAATTAACCGCAATTAACCAATAATAACCCGGACATAATCCAATATCACTCTATATAAAAATTAATTCTGTGTGCGTTGATTGACCTACAGCAGCATATGAACAGCGACAGTGTAAACTAATATTTCACAGTTGTTACATAAGTTTGTTTGTGTTTGATAGTGATTTTGACATAGATTTGCTGCTGCAGTGTGTTGCAAAAATTAGATACATATTACTCCACGTGTAACATAGATAATTACAATTTTACTTTTTTCCATAGAACAAACGTTTAGCAACAATCGCAGCATCTAGTTATGGAACTCTACCATGAATATGTTGACGTTTCGTATGTCCAATTAAGTTGGAATAAAATTTAATTGGTCTGGTAAGGACAACAGACCATTAAAAAAACAAAATGTGTACTGCGATTATGGGTAAGTTCCTTGAAATAATTCCGGCGTCACTTGACTGGATTCCCTCATTAATTAAATGAATCGTTCCAGAAGGTGGCCTCTATTTAAACCCATACTTTCCTTCTAGATATTCGGTGATCGAGGTTTTTCTGGAGTACCCATCGCGTCTGCCGCCCGATTATGAGTCACCCATCGTCACCGTACATACTAGAAAGTCCTCGAGAAAACACATAGGCGTCGTACCGAGGCGGTGTATGAGTTTATTTTGTAACACTGCCTTCTGCTTGCAATGTTTCCCTTACTGTTCGTATATTATATAATGTATGATAACGCTTACACTAATAATCACATCCGATAAAGGTACCACATCACAAAAGTAGCTACAGTAACTTTCACCGCTTCGTAGAAAACTTCACAAACAATAAGTCTGCCATTATCCTCCTGTTTAACATTTAGGTGTTTTTTTTAAGACCTTTTGACCCACACAGTAGTAGCTCCGGCAGACGTTCTGTCGTTAGTAACTCGATAAGAAAAATATTAATGTGTTTGATAAAATAATATTATTGTGGTTACGGTGTCTGATATTTCAAAAATACTCCAACTGTCAAACGAGGTATACAGAAAAACAAGATTAGAGGGTCAATGTTATTACGTTAGGCTCTTTTTAAAATAATGACAGGCTTATGAAAGACATCATGTATATTGTGCATGTATGAGTGTACACAAAGGGTGTCAGTTTTTTAATCTTTTTTGAATTTATATTTATTTATTTTAGGCGTAAATCATCAAACATACTTTGTTTAGCTTGATTGTTATTGTTCAAGACTTCAAGAGGTCATGTTTATATTTGTCAGATTAACACGCATAGTTTTTGTAATTTTTAACAACGTGTATCTGTTGTTACAAATAGAATCCTTACAAAACAGAGTACTTGGCTCTCATTTTTTTTTTTTTAGTAATTCGATGAACCTTCTTGACAATACGATGGTTACAAATTCATGTTACGTGTCGTTTTCACAAGGAGGGTAGTTCACCTTATTGTATAGATAAGCGGTAAATCTACATTATTAGTATTAATTTCAATGACAGCTATTTCTGGACACTTGTAGTTGGTATTTCCATTATTCGTTTTCACGGTTTTAATGTTAATAAACACATTCGATTACCTAATTAAAGTAAATTATATGTGTTTTCTAAAGAAGTCATTTTAGAAACGGGTTATAATTAACCACGCGTGTTTTAAAAGTCGCAGTTTACGGAGGTTATGCAATTAATTAAACAGTGTGGAAAAGCTCCTGCAAAAAAATTCACTAGTCATTAGATATTTTTTTGATTTCACTAAGCACAGAGTTATTCTAAAAACGAATAAAATTTAATTCGGTCGACCTTGAAATTAGTTGGTTAAAAAAAACTGTGTACCTTATCTATAAATGTTTAAATAAATTTTACGATGGCGAGGAAATTTCTTTCACTTATTCTGTGACAGTTCAGTGACAAATATTTCATTAGTAAAAGTGGTGTCGGGATTTTTTTCTGTTGGTACAATCACGTTTCCCTTAGTGTAAATGTCAGACTAAAATACGTAACACTCTCTAACAAAAGCATTGGTCATTTAATCATACTAATTCTGACGTGAAACTGAGTTTACATCAAGGAAATGTAATTAATCGCAAAAAAATTTATGACAACGTAATCACCGGTTATTAAAAAAGTTTTACGTCTGAGAACTGGATAAACAATCATTCAACACAAAATCTTTAATAAATATTATTTATTGCACTTCCATTCTACGTTTGTTAGAAATACTTTGTGCATACATCATTACACGGGATTTTTACATTGATTACAGTCTTCCATAGCTTCTTGAAACTGTTCAATTTGCAAAGTCATCTCGAAAAAGTTATACTTATCGTGTATATGTTTCGTGGCAACCATTAAAATGTTCTGTGGATTAACCTCAGGACCTACAACAAAATATTACCACAATATTCAACTTATCAATAAAACATACCAATGGCAACATGAGCCGACATGGCAATTTTATCCAAACTTAAAGCCCAAATTCTCAAGTTGTGTACGAGCTTAACACCGTTGATATTCAGAAGTGTTGTCATAACTTCGTTAAAATCAATTCCTTTAGGAGCTCCTTCCATTAGTACGGTAAGAGTGTCTCTGATAATTGCAAAGGTCGTAAACATTACCAATATTGAAAAAATAAAAGTACAAATGGGATCAATAATCAACCAGTCCTCCTACAACAAAAATCTGAAAACTGTTGTCATGACAAATGTCAAATTTACTTTGAAATAAATGACAGCAGCGGCGACAAAAACGCCAAAACTTTGTAGAAAATCTCCAATCACGTGGATGAAAGCCGCCCGTACGTTGATGTTGTCGTGGGAGTGCGAGCTGCCGCCGCCGTGGCTGTGGCTGCTGCCGCCCCCGTGAGTGTGGCCGTGTTGGTGAAGGGTCAGTCCCATGCTAACAAAACGATTGGTTAATATGCAATGGGTCTAGCGTCTGCGGCTTACATCAAGTTGACAATAACACCAATCCCGGAAGTGATTAACATCACTTTGGAATCGATTTCAAAAGTTTGGTAGATGACTCTTTGGACTGCCATGTACACCAGAATGCCAGTTACAACCCATATTAACAGTACTGAAGTTAAGGCACCAATTACTTCGGCACGATACCACCCGAAATGCATTTTTTTGGTAGAGGGTCGGGTTGCCATCCATAGTGAAAAGAGCGATATCATGAAGCTGGCAAAGTCGGTTAGGAGGTGGGCGGCGTCTGAGGTTATCGCTAGACTGTTTGACAAATAACCACCTGAAAAAGAAAATTATTGAAAAGTGATATGAATAAAAAGGGCGCCAAGTTGGACCCTTGGCTATCGCGAGGCGAGGATAAAAAAAAGTGACGGACAAAGTGATTTTATCTTGAGAAGATAAAGGTGATTGATTTGATGTTTCGAAAATTACAGTTACTTACCTACGACCTCTCCAATCATAAATATGACACATAGTATACTAGCGATGATAAGTTTTCTTCTAGCTTTTCGATCAATTTCAGGCGATTTTCCTACGTGACAATGTTTGTTTACTAAAAATATGAAATTACATACTTAGTTATGTAAAACAATATAATTCAATAAAAATATAGCAATAATTTGGTGTAGATAAGCTGTAGACGATAATTTTATGACTAATAAACTCACTTAATTCTGTCGCATCTTGATTTTCTTTAGTCGGTGTGTTGACGTAGTCCCCAGGTTGAATGTCGACGACTTCACTCTGTAGAACTTTGCAACATCCAGCGCTTGGTTTACCATGGACACAGTAGATGACTTTTTTGGGTGTATTACTGTCTGTAGGATAAGTTCCGTATGTGTTGCCATTGTTTAATCTAAAAATAAGTTTGATGTACTTGAATTTTGAACCGTTAGAAGAAGTTCTACTCACAGCAAAATCGATCTGTTTTCATTTTCGTCCTGCATTTTCTGGCACTTAATCTATAGCTAGTGCTTTTTCTGTCATACTACTGGTTCTGTTCAGTTCCCGTACATGATTTGTGGATGGTAATTGAAATCTATCTAAGTATAATGAGTGTTTACTCAAACCTATACTCTGCACCCGACCCGACAGTTCTTATCAATCACAAATACTTAACTTCAAATCTTAACTGTACAAATAAAAACAATACTGCTTTTTAATGGATTTTTTTCAAAGAAAATTGTTTGAAAATATGCAATTAGATTACTGTTTGACCAGAAATAGAATTTGAGTTTGATTTTTTCAGTTTAATTACTTGTTGTGAAAAACAAATTAATAATGCATTGTAAGTTTTAAAGGTAATTGTCTGATAAGGTACAAGTAAAAACACGATCGTTTAGAGTGTGTTTACACAAGATTAAAACCAGTAAGATTTATTACAGACTCTTACTCCACAAATCACTTACAGACTATGTATCAAAATCTGTCACATACAGATTAGACAAGGACGGAATGAAAACGTGGGATTATAAAAAAGGTCAGCCGATGGTCACATTTCTTTCAAACTTCGTAATTTGACTTAAAGTTGTACGTTAACTAGGTACCTATTTTTTTTTCTAATGGAGGAAGGATCACTCACGTTTTTTAAAATCGTAGTTATCACTTATTACGATAGTTAAAAAGACATCGCACGTCGATGAATTACTTGACGTTGTTTTTGTTTATCAGATATAATAGCGTCTTGCAGCTGCTGTAGTACGAGATTACAGTAAATACATAAAGAAAGAAAGAAAAAGATTCTGGCAGTAAAACGTATTTGAACTGTGATATCTAAAACAAATACGCAAGGGAATTTTGCAGGCAGACATAGATTAAATTTTGAATAATAAACAACAAAATGGAGGACGTTTTGAAACATTTCCTGTCAAAAATTTACGAAAACTGTGTACAAAATAGGGTCATAAAAGTATGACTTTTGTAACATAAAAAAAGGATCAAAGGAATCCAACTGTAAGGAAATATTAGAGACAAGTGACAATTTGTTGACAACGGTCACCCCACAGTTTAAATTTAGACGTAGGTGAAAGAAAAAATTAGTTCTATTTTTCGTTGTGGTAATAACAAAAAATAACTGATTAATATTAATTTTAGTCCAAATCCTTGACCCCCGTCTTTTTCATAGTCCATTCTTCGCCGCCACTGATTTTAGGAGCGCCCTCTGTTAATGATTATTATAACTACTAATATTATGTAAGAAATCTGCAATCTGTCAAAAAAAAAGGCGGGAATGTGTTCACACCACCATCAAACCACATGCTCATTACTATCATAACAACCGGTCATTTATCAATACAACACCAAAACCGGTATCGGCCCTTTTACAGGCCCTTATTTTCGATATCTTGTGTTCAGTTATTAACTTTAACGTAAACTGTGTACTTCAAAATGTCGGAAGAAGCTGATGATATTGAAGCACTGAGGTTGAAAAACAAACAAGAACGAGATGCGTTTGTAAGTAAATTTAATTTTATTTATTTTCGAATTGTATTTTAATAAATGGGTGTAGCTTGCAAACTTTATGAACGACCCACTTTTCGTGGATATGGTAAAAGAGTTCAAATCAACAACCCAAGACAAAAATAAGAACAATAATAAGGTTGTACCAAAAAGAAAAAGGGGCGATTCGGTGTTTCGCTTCACCGGAAGTGTTCCCAGTGAAAGACGCAGTTCTGCTAGGTTACAGAACCGAAAGCCTGATTACACCCATCTAGATTTACCCAATGACGTAAGTCCATATAGGTATATATAAATTAAATAGATTTATATTTTTTTGTTGTAGAAAATATTATCACATGATTCCGACGATGTGGATGACTTAGAAGAGGTCGTTTATCGTGTGAAAAAAAGAAGATTTGTGTCTCGATTAAGTACTCCTGCTGTAGTTATCCCTGTCGAAGAAGTGACAGAAGAAATGATTGAAAAAATACAAACAAGCGGCAATAAAGTGTATGGAGCTAATGGCACCAGTTGTCATCAGTGTCGCCAGAAAACTGTAGACACTAAGACGATCTGCCGCAGTGGCGTTTGTGTTGGGGTACGAGGTCAATTTTGTGGTATTTGCGTAATCAATCGATATGGAGAAGACCCTATTAAGGCTTTGAAAGACCCCAACTGGCAATGCTACGTCTGCAGGGGCTGCTGCAACTGTTCCTTCTGTCGCTTGAAAGAGGGTAAACGCCCTACTGGAATTCTCGCGCCTTTAGCGAAAGCCAATGGATACAAATCCGTGATGGAGTTCCTCCACAGTCTCCGAGGCTACGGTGACTACTGCGAGCCCAAAGAAGACCCAGAAAACCTTCTAGGTTTCGAAGGCAACGAAGCCGTCATGGGGGGGCAACAACGCATCAAAATACAGTGCGACTACGACGCGGAAGCGTTTAAAAAATTTGTAACGTTGTGATTTACATTTTTATCATTTTACGTGAATAAATAACGACTTCACAGTTATAGCATGAATTATTAAAGTGGGAAATGTTCAATAATTGATTAGATAATTTTGCTGTTGCCGCAGCAACGGGGTAAACAAACCTTCAGACGCCAGTCTACAGGTGCCCGCGTTAAAAATGAGAGCTATGCGTATGTGGCGTCTTCATGGTTCTTTCTGTGCTCAATTATGCGGCAATTTTGTGTTTTCTGAGCCTCATGTTGTTCCTCGCGTATGTGCTACTAAGGTATTTCAAATCGCGCGCCAAATCTCCGAAATGCATCCACATCAAGACGGCTGTGATTTTCGCGACGAGTACTGGAGTCTACCTCAGGAAGCTCAAAATTGAAAACTCGAAGAAAAAAATGGGCAAGTTGAGACGCGAGAATGTGAAACACGCGATCGATTTGTACTCGATAAGTTGCTGTGATGTGCCACTGCAAAACTATAACATTTTTTGAAATTTTTGGGGAGTTTTGGTTTCGTGCACCTGTCAGAGTTAGTGACTTTTCCCACCTTGCGTTCTTTGTGAGATGTCAAACAAGTGTCCGTGCTGTAATCCGTAATGAAACTTTTTAATTTAAAATAATGGAATGCTTTGAAAGATGGTGGTGAAGTGGGCGATTTTTGGATTATTTAGGCTGTTGTAGCACCAGACTGACGAAATAACGGACTAAAAGGCTAAATGACATGGGATTTTGTTCAAGAAGATACTTGTTCTTATCAGTATGTCTCTTACAAATGGTAATTCACTTTTCATTGTTCTTCTATTGTTTAATGCGCGTTTTGATTCAGCTTTCTGTCGTCGAGAGACAAATCTTTGATTTCTTAGGATTCTTATGGGTACCGATTTTGGTCAATTTCTTCGAAATTGTGTTCATTATCTTGGGATTCTTTGGTGCTTATCAATATCGGCCTAAGTATATCATATCAGTAAGTATCGCCCAGATTATTTTTCTTTAACTAATTCTATCCCCTTTCAGTATATTTTGTGGCATCTGTTTTGGTTGGGATGGAACATATTCATCATTTGTTTATATTTAGATGTAGCCAACTTGGACCATAAGGTATAAATAAATAACTAGGCATGCGCTATACAGTGTTTAAAAATTAGAGCTTCCCAGGAGTTTTTAAAATAACGGAAATTGCATTTCATACCGTTTAATTACGCGGTTTCAAATTCTATTTAAAAATTCATATCCAGGGAGGTTTCCTCTAAAACAACCTTGGTTAAAAATTCAGGAGCTTTTGACGAGGTTTCAGAAACTTTGTTTCAAGGAAATTATAGGTTGAGGTTTTGAACCGACAAATATACAAAGTGATCCAGTTTTGATGTGACCTATTTCAAAAAAATGTCAAGCTGTCAAAATTAGTTACACTTACGACGCCATATTGTTTTTTTATATTTCACAAAAAAAACGTGAATTACGTTCAAAATGGATTTTTTTTTGTTATTTTTCGCATGAAGTATTGCCCGCTGTGCTGTCCTCATGTGACGAGCATGTTACACCAAAAAAAGTTTATGTAATTTGCATTATTGACACCCGGTGGATTATTAGTTGTCTTTTATGATTGTTGATTGAGAATAAGCACCTAACCCTGCACTTTTTTAAAAGAAATTTGTCATTAAATGTGGTTTCTATCGCTCGTCTTTGTATTAATACGTGAAAGTAAAATCTGACAATCAGTACGGTGTATTACTATTTAATGAAGCACATCTGTATTGATTGGACGTGTGGAACTTATTTATACGCACGTTCGTGAATAATTAATGTTAATGAGAGATTGTTTTCTCAATACGGTAAATTTCTCCGTAGACTAATAAAGTGCTCAAACTGGACCCAAAGAGTGAGAGTTGGTGGAGTAATCAGGGACCAGGATGTAAGCGAGTTCTTAATGACTCGGACACGGCTGCTAGTGAGGACTGTTACGTGAACTACGTGCACGTGGAGATTTTTCAGGCAGGCTTACAATGTGTGACAGCTGTAAGTAAATGAAATGTGGCACAGCATAATCAAACTTCAATTTTTTTAGTTAATCGGAATTGTGATAGGGATATGTTTAAGCCGCATATTTTTAGAGGAGGACGACACCTGTAAGTGCGAATTTGATTTAACTTTTAGTAGGTTGTGCACTAACACTCCTTGTGTATAATAATAGCTTCACTCTGATTGGCTGATTATGCTCCTTACACGGAGACGGTAATCAGTCAAAATTTTCATGATTAATCTGCTTGCAGTTGATTTCATTGGTGGATTTGATCCTCAAAGTGTTTGGTAAGTTTGGTAACTGGGATGCATTGTATTGATCTTCTTAGGGTGTTAGTTGTTTTAATTTTCATTCTCTTTCTTTGCTGTAGATTAGGTGCTATTTGATACTCTATTTTCAGTTAATTATGAAGATGCTAAAGGGCCTGAATATTTATCCTTACAACCAATGTACGTGAGCGCCAGTGATTGCCTTAACCAACATTTTTCTAAATCTAACCCGCATTTAAATGTAAAGTCACAAACCCCGATCTTTTCCCAAACACGCGTTCATCGGAATAATTTAGGGAAACCGAAAACTAATTTACATGTTGACGCGATCAGGTACGTCCAGAGGAGCGTTTCTTCGGAGATGCTGGATAAACCAAACAATAAACGCTCAAATCGTCCGAAATCGACAGCTACGTCCTATTTTGACTCAGATCTCAACTTCTAAGACTTTACATTTAATGCCAAACCCAGCAAGTACAAAAGTTGTTGTTCCGCTCGGCTAAGTAATGCGCATGCGTTGTGATATTTATTTATTTTTCAAAACAAAAATATCAACTTGTTGACTGATGTAGAAGAGACTTGTGGGAAAACGTAGATCGCTATAGATCGAAATAGTTATTTTTAATAGAAAGTCTATATATGTGTTACTGTTGCGAGAGTAATCGTAAATTATCACAGTCGGGTATTCGACGTCTGTTTTAAAGTTTTTATATATTTTTTGTTTTGTTTATTGTTTAATATAAGTATATTGGTTTTGATAGTCACGTGTTATGTGAGCACAGCATAACCTACTTTACAACTAGCTATAGACTAGGCGTGGCAGTTTATTGTTACGATTATTTATATTAACGACGTTGTTTTTGCTGGGCGTTTTCTTGCTATAATTTATTCTAGTCAGTATTATTTTGTATTACAGTCAGCCTTTTGTTGTTAGCACTAATGCTATGCCTTATTCTTTTGTATAAGGTAGTTGGGACTGGAGTGTGTTCTTTTCTTGTAATGACTAATGTAAAGTAGATTAATTTGGCATTAACATTGGTGTTATTTAGCTTCTCATAGCTTAGTGCATGAATAATGTTATTTGTTTGATTAACAAGAAATATTACCGATATTTTGCTATACTGATCAATAAAAGTGAACAAAATAAGAAAACAGGTTATTTTTTAACAGCATCACGTAAATCCCTACGAAAAAACACGAAACGAATGTCTCTCTACTCAATAGAATTTAGTTCTCAATTGGAAAATCGGCATGGTGATAGTGATAACGATTACGATAACGAACATTTGCCTCAGCCCGTTTCGCCTAAGCCGATGACACCAAGGAGGGTGAAGCGGCGCAGCGTAATGACTAGAGGTTCCTCAGGTAGACACAGCACCAGTAGTAGAAGACATTCAGCAGCACGTTCGTCGACGAGAAGTTCCCGTAGGATGGCGCAAAATCCAGTAACCCGCTTGTTGGAGCAGCAGCAAAAAACCCACGCTTACGATAGTCCAGCTAGTCCTTCCCCTATAGAATCTTTACCAAATTATTATAATAGCGTATCTAATAACAACCTCATGGCACATCAGAACTGGCAGAGCAACGGCCACTCTAACCCTACGTACCAGCAGTCTTCCACGCAATCGTTAAACGATCCAGAAGATTTTGACGATCTGTATAATAATCGGCCAGCGTCTGTGCGCTCAAGCTATTCCAATTTCCATGGCACGAGGGCCATCAATTACACGGCCCCCAAGCACTATCACAGTCATGCGACGCCCCAAGTGCCCCAGAAGCGCAACAATCCGAATAGGAATAGCATGCGATCAATGGCCTTTCTTAACAATGGCCCTCCTGCTTACACGTCACAGGGCCAAGCTTCCATCGACTCGGAAACCACAATATAGGTTAGGTTATTTATTTTTGAGACCCCTTGTGATATAGTTAAGGTAGTTTTAATCTTAGAACGTCTGTCAACATTCAACAAATCGAAGACTGCCATTAGAACTGCGTGATACAGTGTGTACAAGCTAGAAGAGACGGACATTAGGTTTATTAATAGTGTTACGATTATTACACAAACCCACTCTAGACGGAATTTTTCACAAATATATTTTTTTAATGTTTTATAACCTCACTTAGTTTTACGTCATACGACTATGCTTAGCAATTGTGTAATAGCCGTACCATAAATGGGTAACTTTATTAGCCGAAATTGTATGTATTTTTGTCACTCTTGTTTCAATTACGTGAGTACCTGTTTTTACTTTAGCGAATTAATGCCGACTTAAACGAGTTCGTGTAATCAAAAGCTAATTTTAGTTGTAAATTGCACCGAGTTTGGACACACTATATCCTCTAAGATTTTATTTTTATGCAGACTATAACTATGTACAGATCTGACTTATTGTTTTCAACTTGTTTTATTTATCTTCAACATGATAGTACAGCTAGGAGGGAATATACTTTGAACAACAAAGACTTGTATAACGTATGATAAACAATCACTCAGACTCGGAATGTTTCAGTTTTGTAGATAAATGCCAATTAGTTGTCTCTTGCCATATACAAATACAAATTTGATCATACGTTATAGAATTGGGACTAATTCTGTTTGTGTTTATTTTTGAAACTGGGATTGAACACTGCAAAATAATTGTAATATGGGTTGAAAAATACGTGTAAAAATTGCCGAAATTTCCACAATGTGTACACCGTGAGGCAATAATTTGTGTAATATTTTGTGTTCATATGTAATCATACTGTACATATGCTTTGTAGTTAAGTATATTGTAGCGATATTTTTTACCAAAGTATTACGTAGAAACGTATTTTTATCACTATACAACCTTTAGTAAGTTTTTTAATATAAAAAATCACTCCATTTGTGTATTGTTTCATTGTTTTTTTCAGCCACTCCAGGTAAGTATCGTAAAGTAGATGCGAAAAAGCGACGTAAAACATAGGTCGCACAGGTGGTTATTGTGACTACACAACGACACAGTTGTGCATATTGTTGGTGATAAACTAGATAATTTTGAATTTCCCGCTAATTTCCAAAAGTGCAGTTAAAAACATAACCTAACTGTCTTTGACAGATCAACAACCACGTTGGCGGGTACATTTTTTTGCACAACCACCTGAGAACACATTTTTGAACTCCGATATTTTCTATTTTGCTATAAAATCTAACCCAAAGTAGATCTTTAATACGTTTATTAATTAACATGAAATGTAAATAAAATCGACAATAATGTACATTTATCTTTGTCAAAACAATAAAGTAAGGCGAAATGTTTGAATTTTGGTTCTAAGACCTAGCAACGCACTTTGATTTTAGCATGAGGTGCGCGGATGTGCTATAAAACAGGGTGCTTTGCGCAATCGTGTTGCCGTTGGGTACATTCGTCGCTAATTAGAAAGTCGTTTTCATATGCCCAAGGAGATTTTCTCTGATTTTAAACGAACATTTCTGACGAAATGAGTATTCAGAACACACAATTGTCCATCTAAAGAGATGACAGCTGTAAAAAAATCACAAACAAAGTTTGACACGTGTACCTACTCATGTTCATTACTTCAACTATATAGATTTTGAAAGAGATTTAATACAGAATGTCCAGTGATATGCATATATTGCTCGCTTCAGTTATTTGATAATTTGTCAAATCGAGCAAGGAACCCATCATTATTTAAAAAATAAATTTCATGGCTTCGTGCGGGACTATTTTCGGTCACATGGTATCTCAAGATAAAACTTCATAAGTAGTTCATTACGTACCGAAATCATGCTCTTAATAATAAAATCAATAACAATAGGAAAAATTGGTTTATAACAAATGGTGTCCGAGTGGCAATCACAAGATGAATCCCATTTCACATCCCTCTAGTCGTTTAGTCAGCGTATTTAGTTCCAAGTCAGTTTATGCGCATGTGCTACTTACTAAAGCACTGCAATCCGCTGATTCAAAAAATCTCGGTCGGTAGAAGTTGTTAAAAAGAAATTGTTTTTATAGTAATTAGTGTGTTAAAGGTAAAAGGTGGGCAGATCATAGAAAAAACTGATTTTCTCGGTATCCTTAAATATCTTTTGCAGAAAATCTTCGGAGAAAAAATCACACAGACGTCCAACGATATTTCTGCGTCGTTTGTTTTGAAGGATCATTTAATTTCACAAGGTATTGTTATGCAACCGAGAAGGTTAAGTATTAAAAATAACAATCTGTTATGTATTATTTTTTGGACGAATGCCAATTTACAGTTTCATTAATAAGGATAAACGATCACTAATCCTACCAGTTAATCTTGCCAAAACTGCGGTTTACCAAGAAAGGGTCAGCTGCAGAGAGCTGTCCCTAAAGTTTAATTCACAGTTCTCAAATGTAGCACTTACTATCATCTCATACACTTGTCCCTCCTCTCTTTGGGAATAAGGGAATTCTCGGGAAACTTAATTGTTTGCTTGCAAGTAGTTTAGTCAAGATGTACGCATTCGATTGGAGCAAGCTTGTACAACATGTCCTGGTTGTGTTCAATGTCGGAAGGATCTCGTTAAGATTTTTTGTTCAAAAAAACAAATAAAAATAAAATCAGAGTTCCTTGAACAAACCATTCTTCGAAAAATAAGTCAAATTACTGAGTATTGTAGCAATGATCAATGATTACTGTGTATTTCACTACTGTAATGAAACATTTATCTAACGTTACGACATAATATACTTAAGTGATTCAGTACTTCCTGCCAAGACTGTACTTTTCTTTATTTGATTTGTGAGTAATAATTTCGGCAACATCTCCAGTAGATGGCAGTCTGTAAAGATTAAAAACTGATGCGTTGTAACCTCAGCGCAGATTCCCTGCTACAGAGTGCGGCGCCGCGTTACGAAATATAGTCCGAAATATCGATCTCTACGAATATGAAAACTTTAATAACAAAATGTTTATTATTTAATTTAAATAAAAATCAACTCAACGTGCCCCTAGTTAGCAATGTTGCAATAAAATGTCTCTCGTCGCTCAACAGCTCCCCCAAAAAACAGGTAAGTAATTGATTATTTTTAAACTATTGATTGATACACACATGAGTGCAATTTTAGGACCGTGTCCAAAAACTCAAAGATGCATCCAAAGGACAAAGGTACATGTTTTGTTATTGTCACTTTTTGTTTGATTTTATTTATTTATTTATTTTTTTAATTACAGAAGAAATTATTCTTTTATTCATGATATAAATTACATGCGATAGTAAGTTTTCTGTTTTCTTGTTTTCTGATTTTTCTGTGTAATGACTATTTGTAACGCAGTAGCGAGAACAGGAATGAAGATACGTTATTTGATATGTTCAAGAGCGAAGAAACGGGTTTGTTGTCGACTGGAAAATTTCTCAACGTATGTGATTCCTCTAAATAAACAAATTTGTATAACAGTACTTTGTAGGAATTGAGGGCGACAGGTATCCGCAAGACGGACCCTCGTTTGCGAGAAATGATGGAGACGCTAAAAAAGATCCAGAAAGAAACTGATACGCAAAACCTGAATCTGGAAACTTTTAGAAGGTATATAGATCATAACACGCAATCAAGGTCTTCAACAATTAATTAAACTGCAAACAATCTGTTTGATTAAAGTAGTACGTGTGTTGCAGCGTCGTGTCGCCTAGCATAGGACTGATCTCTCGAGCGTTCCGTCACCAGTTTATAATACCCGAATTCCAAGACTTTTGTAAAGAGATTGAAGAAATCTACTGGACGTGCAAGGACAATAATAATGGAGAAGTAAAACACAGGCTTGTTGTAGTCGGTCAAGGTTACAGTTTTCGTTTTAGGTGGCGTCGTATATTCCTCAATTGAAGCGTATGAGTTCAAATTACTGGGGAGTTAGCGTGTGTACAATAGACGGGCAGCGGTTTTCTATCGGGGATGTCAATATCCCCTTCACAATACAATCCTGTAGTAAACCCCTAACTTACGGGATCGCTTTAGATCTACTAGGCGCGGAGATAGTACATAAATACGTAGGGCAAGAACCCAGCGGGCGAAATTTCAACGAGCTTATCTTGGACCATAATAGTAAAACTGGAAATCTCGTCGTTGTTAATGTTTATGTATTGTAGTACCTTTTAGAGAAACCACATAATCCCATGATCAATGCTGGGGCGATTTTGGTCTGCTCCTTACTTAAAACGGTGGCAGGTCCTGAAATGACCCTCGCCGAGAAGTTTGACTATACTCTAAATTGTTTTGCGGTGAGTCCGGTCAACTGTGCAATTATAATTGAATTAGCTCCCGTGATAAACAAACAATTAGTGTCATAATATCAATTCTATCAATAATTTAATTAATAGCTCGATGTGAACTTCTTGTTTGTTTGCTTTAACACTTTCGTAATTGGATTTAAACTTCAGCGATTAGCAGGAGGGGAAGACTTAGGATTCAATAATGCCGTTTTCTTGTCAGAACGGGAAGCAGCCGACAGAAACTACGCTTTGGGTTTCTACATGAGGGAGCACAAATGTTACCCTGATAAGACTAACTTCAAAGAATGCATGGATTTCTACTTCCAGGTAACGCCAAAATTTTGGCCAGTTGAGTCGCTGTGTACACCTTTCTGACAGTCGGGCCGCACCGATCACAACCCCCAAAATAGTCGCTAGACGGAGAACCCGAAGCGACCCTCAAAAATTCTCGGGTCTTACAAGATTCGGGAAAACCCTTTTAGTTTACGTTGGAGAGTAATACATTTGTTGCCTTCTCCTCCTTTCACGAGATAAATGAGGTAGGACAAAGTATCGATCTTGCTTCTCGCTGTATCACTTCAGAAACCTTATAGAACCTTCAGTTTATGCGAACCGAGAAAAATCGGCTTCGTCTTCCATCTAGGGACTATCATGTTGTTGTTGTACCCGGAGGACACCAGTAGTTGCAACACCTATCGTAGTGTTCAAATCTTGTGACCTAGTCAATATTTAGAGCATTCGGACCGAGTTTTCCCTTTTGATGGTGTGGCCCGAGTGGCAGCGATGTGTGTGCGGAGCGAGTGTGTACTGACTGGGTTTCAGTGCTGTTCCTTGGAGCTAAGTAGCGACTCGCTCTCCGTGATGGGTGGAACCCTGGCAAACGGAGGTATTTGTCCTCTCACCGAAGAAAAGGTCCTGAAATCGGAGAGCGTCCGTGATGTGCTCTCACTGATGCATAGCTGTGGAATGTATGACTACTCCGGGCAATTTGCATTTAAGGTGACTATCGCCACTATAAGTTGCAATTCCCCGACCGAATTAGTTCGTAAACTTAATTGAATACGGTTTAATTATTTGCCAAGGAAGTCAATCGATTTCAGGTCGGCTTGCCGGCGAAGTCAGGCGTAAGCGGGGCTTTGTTAGTTGTGATTCCAAATGTCATGGGAATATGCCTTTGGTCCCCACCTTTAGATCCATTAGGTAATAGCTGCAGAGGGGTACAGTTCTGCGAGGTTTGTGATTAATTACGTGATGGAAGACGCTTCTCATGGATGTAGGTATTGCAGGAGCTTGTGAAAAAATTCAATTTCCACCGGTACGACAATTTAATTCATGCATCCGACAAGACTGATCCTAGGAAGCATAAGTTCGAAACCAAGGGAATGAATGTTGTTAATTTGTTGTTTTCGGCTGCTTCAGGTGACCTGCCCGGACTCAGACGGTGATAATTAAGATCCGATCTCGTCAACAATTCATGAGCTCGAATTTCAGACACAAGCTATCTGGCATGGATATGACTTTGGCTGATTATGACGGACGTACTGCTCTTCATTTAGCAGCTGCGGAGGGTCACGTTCATTGTGTCAATTTTCTCCTACAGCAGTGTAACGTGCCGCATGACGTACGGGACCGGTGGGGGAAATCACCTTTAGAGGAAGCAATTAGTTTTGGCCATTCTGCCGTTATCGAGATCCTGCAAGACTGGGACGAACGCATTCAGAGAGCCTCAAAGAATCTGATGAAAGGAGGGGGTCCTGTGCCTGGATTAGGCTAAAGACCGCGATATTAGTAGCAGATATTAGCAGACGACCACCTCGGTCTTTCTTTCGTGTCTTCTGTGATTGAGTTCAATCATTCTTGTTGGTCTAGCAATTAACGCTGTCGTCAGTATTTGAACATTGTTTTGTTATTGATCAATACTTTTTCTATTATTGACATAAACTGACAATAAAATGTTTTCTGTTTGTTTACTTTTGTGTTTAAATACCTATTCACCAGCGTAGCAACACGCGTAGATACTTATATACAGTCCAGAATTTTTGTCCACAGTATGATATTGATTTGTGTAAATTAGTTATTTGGTGTTTGATTAAAGCCAGGCGGATTTCATTATTATTATAAAATCTTTCTTTATATTCAGACATCTGTTGCAAGTTGTTAATTAATTTATGCAAAATTTCGCCGCGTTACTGCGTTCTGGTTTTGATTTCAATTTGGCTTCAAACAAACCTTCAAGCCTATATTTTGCGTAATGCAGATATTAATATTAATCTAAGCTGCTTTAAGCTTTAATTAGTCAAATATGTACAGAATAATAATAACGAATATGTTTATGATGAAGTGGAAGCTCTTCCATAAAGATGAACAAACAGGGTGATCTGATACGAAATCGCGATTTTTGTCTCTGTTGTATTAATAATTAGTACTCTTTAATTAAATAATACAGATTTATCGTATAATCAGATAAATGCGTCATAGATGAAAATTATAACTGAAAAGTACACAGAAATATTGATTTTATTCATTTAAACTCTGTTGTGTTGATTTTGTAGAGGCCTGAATTAAAACACGGTTTCTAATTCATTAGCATGTACGTGCTATTTTTATTATTATTCATCAAAGAAATACAAATAACAAAATTTCAAAATTCGAATAAATCAATGATAAGGTTTTTTTGTTCTTAACCAAGTAGCAATACTTTTAGACATATCGGCCAAAAACCGATAAGATTTACTCCTTTTAGTACATCGTGCTGGTCCGGAAACAATATATGACAGCAGTAAATTTTCAGTATTTCACCCGGAAATAGCCTCCTGTGGCAAAATTGAAACCTAATGGCTGAAACAGACGCCACATATTGAGCTGTGATATTTTAACCGTAGAACTTATATAATTAAGGATTTCAAAAATATCCAGGCAATTAATTCGCTCGCAGGAATACACGATTATTGAAATTTAGATATTACAAAAGTTTTAATATCCAGTATGATCCTCTAAATTATCGTAGTTTCTTAAAGGTTGCGGTTCCTAAAATGTAGCGTGATCAATAGAGGTCCCAGAATTCACCCCTGTGGTAAGACTAGAGAATCTCGGGAAAAAAAAACAATGCAAAGGTCTTGGAATAACTCCTCTTTAATGGTCTGATTAAACCTAGTTCTATCGTCAAAATAAGCTTAGTGGACTCCACTAAATTTAGTCAACTTGTATACACAAATGTCACACTTAGTCCCTAATGTAGATGTGTGTACTGTATATTGTGCTAATTTCAAATGGGAATCTACTCAACTATTTATAGCGAAACAGCGGTCCCCAAACATTACGACCCTTCGCACTATGCAACCAAATAAATGCAGCGAGCAAAATTAACTATGTCGGTATTTAAATTCCGATCTATAGAAATATTGTAGATGTATGCAGCCAAAGCGTTCGAGTACAGCTTGGGAGAACTTTTAGAAAATAATTTGACGTATGTATTAGATGCACTTTTAGAACGCGTTTTACTGTGAAATGCGATAAAGGTGCTTATCCCATCCAGGCGACGATGCCTTTCACTAAGGTTTCAATGATAAATCGATTGAACGTAACGCGGTACATAAGATTATATTTGTAGAACTAAAACGTCAATATTAAGCGGTTTAAGTTAATTTAAGAAATCATAAATGGAAGAGCGAACACATCTCTTTATTGAATTAAGTATTGACTTGCTTTTGGCTATTCTCAATTTATATACTCGGACAAGCAATTGATACAAGGTTGGTCACTAATAAGTCCTATTTTATTTGCGGCATACATAGAAGATCTAGTAGCTGTTGGAAAAAAAATCAAAGAAAAACAGATTTGGCTGAAAAGCACATTGGAACAAGGAACGAAAATGGGGAGAGAGTTCCTGAAGGAAAGTAGTCGGTTTTGAAAGTATGTGTGGAACAAACCGGGGACTTACATTTTGGGTTTTATGAAGTGTGAAGCGGCAAGAAAGCCGCTACCGCTTGAAAAGTAAAATTGTCAAGTTTGAAATTGAAATAAAGAAAAGCGAGTGGCGTAGATCTGAATATGGAAAGTGGCGGTTGCTTAATTGATGTTATTTGCAATACAAATTTGGCATTAATTATTTAAATCATAAATAAAATATTGGCATAGGAATATGCGAATTTGTAATGAAAACCGCTAAAAGCAGAAGTAATTGTAATTAAAAATAAACATTCGGCAGAGAAGGCTTTTAGAAGTGGCATATTAATTAGAAATTTTATGTAGAGCAAAAAACGGAAACATTGTTATAGTTATTTTGATGGAAATCCTCGGAACACGCGCTACAAACTAATTGAATGAGAAAGTGTTTAAAGAATGGAAGAGAGAAAGAGAATGCGAAATGATGCAAGAGTGGAAAAGTTGTAATTTATGTACATTCCTCGCTTATTTTACTGTTGGTTCGAAAGTCGAGCCGAAGAAAATGAAAATTAATAATGGATATGGGTATGGACCGACATAGATTTATTCGAATCGAGGGTTATCCGGAACGAGGCATGTATTTAAGGGAATTATAAAAATAAAAACAAACTGGGGCGAAGGGAATAAAACGGATAGGAAGTGATAACGAAAGCGTTGGATCTGAGCGTAATTGCTCGACTGAAACCCCAAGCTGGAATTTACTTTTTACCACTCAATATTATATTAATCGTTTCTGGCATTCCACGGTAATCTCAATTTATCCCCTCGCTGGTTTGAAAAATGATTACTTATCATAGAGCTCCTACAGAATATCCATACTGTTCGAGAACACAGTTCGGAGCAAATATCAAATAATATAAATGGCGGCTTAAATATTGTCAGGATTGCCATGAATTATTCAGAGCATTGCGCGATAATGCTCATAGAATTTCGCAACGCTTTTACAAAACTTTGTCTCATATTCCCAGCTCGCGGTAAGTATTTAGATCTGATGCCAAGTTTTGCGCGCTGTAAAATAGACATACATGGTCTTTTAATTTCATTGTCAACAAGTTTTCATTATGCAACAGTCTTCCTCAGTGATTCAAACGCGTATAATGCCACATTCAAACACCTACACATTTATAACTTCAAGTTTTTCCACGACGCTCTCTACTTGTTCTACAAAAATTCTAATTCTATTTTCACAAAAAAAAACTAAAATGAATAGAACGACGAGTTTCGGTAGAAACACTCCGTTTTGGGGTGCCGGTTAATGGGAAATAGAAGCTAACGCACCATATAACAGGAAAGCAGCCAATACTAATAGTAGCTTTTTTAGCACCAATCCGAAGTTTATCGTCCAAATTTATGTGATTAACTGTAATAAAAAAAGTTATTTGCTCTTTTAAATGCAGCACAAGTACTTTCATTCTTTGATTAGTTTCTATAGCTGTCACGGCGTTAACGCCTAGATTGATTTATGAAATCTGGACAAGATACAATTGTGCTAGAGTAAGCTCCAATGATATATATCTGTCCAATAATTCATTTATTTCTAACAGTATTCGTAATTAAATTTACTAAAGTCAAGTACATAGCAAACATTGTAAGGTTGCAAATCGAAAGTAAGATTTTTACAAGAGGTTATCTGACTTAATTTGCGGTAAACGTTACAATTTTTTGGAGACAGACTACATTAGTGGTCGTCAGTTGTCAGCTGTTAGTAGGAACTGATAATAAACTCTTCCACGGGAACAGAAATACGTGTACGAAGTGAATAATGTCGAAAAGGGAAAAGAATGCGGTATATACGAAAACAAATACTTTTTACACATCAACATCAATAATAGCGTGAACGACACCCCTTTATTCAATATATGCACGTCACTTTTTGGAATATATTTTACTGGAGGCTCCACTCGTAACTTCATAAAAGTATATAGTCCCCATTTAACGTTGCGGATAGTGCTGTAACGTTTTTCGCCCTCACGGGAAGGGTATTTTCACGCCAACATGTAAAATGTATATAGAATGAATTTTGTTTTTAAACGACTTCATTAGTCGACTAAACCGCATGGACACACTTAATTGCGTCACAACTGTCCCTACGTTAGCATATTGAGCATTAACTCTTACGTCTTTCAGAAACTAGTAGCTGTCATTATGCAAATAGGTGGAAGAAATTTACATTGAGTGATTAATTAATTTCGGCTGGACGGAGACCGTGGAAGAATAGAACTGCGTCGTAGATTAATCCGGACACTAATAAGTCGTGTTGAATGGAGGCACAAGATTGAAACATAACCTCAAATTCGATGTTTTATTAGAAATGTGTGTCAAGTGAGCGGTAAAGTTCGACTGTGTTGTATTATCAGTGAATAACCCCTAATTGAACGTTTCGTTAAGTACGTGCACATCCGCATTTTATACCTCTCCGTTTTTAAGAGACTTTATTGTTTAAGCTTCCATATATTTGTTTTATGAAATAGCTTTTGTTCGTTATTCAAATGAATTCTATTGTAAGTGAATATAATCGTTTATTTATATGGCGCCAAAAATTTATTGGCCATGACGGGCATTCTAACTTCCGCCATAAAAACTGGAGCAGGAGAGAAAAGTGCGCTTGATGTATTTACCATACATTTGTCACAATAATAACAATGTGTAAGTTTGTGCATTGTTTGCTGTTGTGATAATTGTGCAATAACAATGTAAACATGCTATTCGAAGTGTGGATATAAAGAAAACACAGCAAGTGGTTAAACCGAATAGCGAAATAATCAGACTAATTTATTTGCTTACTGTACATTAGTAATTCTGTGTGCAAAATCGATCGCAATATTTGTTGTATCCGGTTTGCAGACAGCGTCCAATGAGACGAATTTTCGAAATTTTCCACTAAAGAAAGCGGCGAGGAAAATGAACACCACTTTTTTCTGACTGTATATTTTCTGACGTAAGCTAACTAGAACCGTGCAGTGTAATAAAATACTACGAAACAGTTAATTGGTCTCTTATTCCACGGAACGCTATAATAAGAAAA